TACTATTCTTACTATTTTTACTGTTCTTATTATTTTTACTGTTTTTACTATTCTTATTATTCTTATTGTTTTTACTATTCTTATAGTTTTTATTTTAAATATAAAAGCTATATAAACTCTACTTTTTTTTCTTTATTTCAGATTAGATTTATCTCTTATAATCTTTTATTATTTTAGAAATTTGTTCTCTATAATTTTCTATTATCTTAAAGATTTGGTTTTCTAATCTTTTATTAAATAATAGTAAAAATAGTTCTGTATTAATAATATTATATCATAAATAAATATAATCTTTGCTTTCTTAAATAAACTTTTTATAATAAACTACTATAGTAATATAATATTCTACTTGAACACTATTAGAAATCTTTTTTCTATATCTTATATTACTTGTATTATATTAAAAAAGCTATGTATTTGTAACAATATATTTAATATTATAATTTTAATAATAATTTTTTAAGTTGCAATAACTTTTGCATCATAAGATATTTATATTTCAAATTTTTATTTAGATGATATATTCTTTTTAGAAACTACTATATAAGGTTTGGTGATCTTAGTGTAGTAGTTAAGTTGTCAAACTGCTATGTAAGAGATCTGGAGTTCAAATCTCACTGTTGACGAATTTGAATAATTACTCAGATCTTTGTATCTAACTTATAGTAAACCCTGTCTGTTTCTAGTATTGTAACCCTGTAAATCATGTTGTACTAATATAAATCAGGTATTGGAAGTGTAATGGAAAAGTTAAGTGTGATGTAACATTATATAAATAATCTTAATAGGATCTATGAGCAGAGGACCTGCATAGTAAAAATCCTGAGTTAAATAATATAGTACAGATTTTGACAGTCATACCAGTTTGATGCTTGATCTAGAGGAAGTCTAGGTACGAAGAATGTAGACCAAGTAGGTGCGAGTAAGTCTATAGTATAACAGAAAAGTCAAGTGTGATATAATATTATATGAATGGCAACATCAACTTAGCTTGGCAGCTAACTAAATTTGGGAGGATCTATCTTGTGAAACATTTGGAAGAACTAGACCAATTTAGAGAGCTACAGAAAGAACTGGGTTCATACAAATACTGATAAAGGTATATGCTAGCTTAATTGAGATATAGCACAGCATAGTTGGAGTTATTCGCAAGCTTTCACCAGAATAGAATACAGGTGGGTATCTTGTAATAGAGCTCAGTTCTATTAAGACAATTTGAGACACAAGTTGGTTTGAGTGGTTCTCAAATGAGGCAGTATAAGATTAGTATAGATATATAAATATTAGATTAAAAATAGAGTTTCACTGTGATGCCAGAGGGTTTAAATAAAGTATCTACAGGCAGATACTAGGTATGGCAATTGGTAAGTAACCTATATAGTAAAACCTGTAAATAGACAATAACTAAAATTGTATGTGTAGCCAATTGTATCTTCACTAACAAATATAACTTGAAAAATAATACTTAATAAAAATCTGTAAACAGCTTGTTGAAAAATAAATAAATAAAAAACAAAAAAAAAAAAAAAAAAAAAAAAACTACTATATATCTTGTTAAATAGCTTTTTAATTATTTTACAAAATAAAATATTCTAGTTAATATAGTTATAATTTATTTTGAAAACTAAAAAATAAATATATTCATTAATAAAATATTCAAATTTATATTTGTTTTTCTTTAGCATTTGATTTTTTATTTAATCTCAGAAGCTATCAAATAATTTATTTACATATATATAAAAAAGTATACTATATTAGGTTTAGCAAAAAATAAATCTTTTTTTTTTTTTTTTTACTAAATTAAACACTTCAACATGTTTTAAATATCTAAATGAATTTTACATAAGACTATACAAAATTTTTTTTTATTTTTTCAACAAGCTGTCTGTAGATTTTTATTAAGTATTATTTTCAAGTTACATTTGTTAATGAGAGTACAATTAGCTACATATACAACTTTAGTCATTGTCTATTTAAAAATTCTGCTATATAGGTTACCTACTGATTGCCATACCTAGTATCTGCTTGTAAATACTCTATTTAAACTCTCTGACATCACTGTGAAACTCTATATTTAACCTAATGGACTATACAAAATTAATTAATCAATTTTTATAACCTAGTCAGATCAAAATTTACAAAACTCTAAAAAAAATTTTAAATATACTTACTATTCAAGTAAGTTTTTTTACAAAATCTATAAAAAATTTTATATGTTTTTTATATATAAAATTTTTTGAAAATAAAATTAAAAACTGAGTTGCTGAGTCACTTTTGAAAATTTATGTTATGAAAGATTTATTAAGTTTGTATGACCTAATATATTATTGATTTCATAACAGTAATTATTTGAGTAATTGGATTGGTTTCAGGTTTTAATATTTGAATTGATAAGTTTAATTCAAATCGATTGTAAGGGGACTATTGAACCACGTTGTACAATACACGTCTCATACAACAAACGTGTCAGAGGTTCGTTCAACGAACGTGTCAGAGATATATAAACAACTCACCTAAAATTGGTTTAAATTGGTCTTGACAAAATATATCACGTGAACGTGATGTAAGGTCGGAATCGTGGTAGCATTAGTCATTAGAAGTCGTAACAACTATGCGTTCGAGTTGTAGTCATAGTTAAGCAATTGTATTGTAATATGCGATATAAATGTGTAAAAAGAGAGAAAGCTAATTAGGCTTTCGCTTGCAATTTTAAAATAAAAGAAATAAAACCTCTATTTTAAATTACCATTTACGCTTAATTTTTTAAATTCCTTTTACGTGACTAAATTGTTATTACAAAAAACATTCCAATTTAGTAATTTTATTAATCATTTTATGCATTACCATTTTAATCGCATAATATATCAATTGTCGAATTTAATAGTTTGCTTTTTTTACTATCTATGAAAGGGTTAATTGAGATTTAACATGTTAGCACAAGACAATTTGTCCAAAGAAACTACTCTAATGCAGTTATTTAGCGATGCAGAACGAACAATAATCAAGGCGAATACGCCAAAGCTCTTAAGTCTATCGATAAAAGCAAACTTTTAAATTTTCTGTCTTTCAGTTTGCTCAGTTTCTTATAAAAAATCGTTCCAAACCTATCTACCCTTAATAGATACGGTTACATTGATCCTTAGAGTGTGTATTATTAGGTTCGTGAAACACAGAAATAATGTGTAATAGGCTTGTGAAATAATGTTTACTTAATGATTTTCCTTCAAAGATATTTATTAATCAAATCATTAAATGTTTGTCTCGAATAAATGGGTATCCTTCTGGGAATTGAATATTTCGATATTTCGAATAACAATTATTTATTCAATTCACTTAATACAGTATCGGTATGTACTGTATAATCATTGATTAATCAAAGGAAAATATACGTAATCATTTGTATTCTGTTACCACATGAGTCATTTTAAGATCCGATTCCCATTTTAGTGGATTCGGAATCTACAGAATCCCGAATCCACTTACAACATATATACCTTTAATTAGAAGCCTAAGACTAGTTTACATAATAAAATTTTAAGATATTTAAAATTTTTTTCTTAAATTTTTCCTAATTTTTGTTCGGTTTTGTTACACAATGTTTACGGTACTGGCTAAATTAGCCGCTCTCCCAAACCGTAACAATTGGTAAAATGCGCATGATACCCATCTCTACTTCCTCGTCTTTTTAGGTGATTCAATGTCTATCTCGGTTTTCGCTCTTTCGGAACTTTTTGTAAAAATTTCTAAAATTTTTTTCGCTCTTTTATCCTACCTTATGATTGGCTTGTTTAATTTTTTGGGGGACAATCGACACAACTAATTAACTTTGAACGGCCTTATAAACCTTGATGTATTAAAGCTAAAATTTATTTATTAAAATTTTCACTTGATGAAATATAATTTGCATAAAACTCGTCATACGATAATGCAAATATTTAGTATACACCCTTGATATCAGTATCTATAGTAATTCTAAGCTTTTTTTCGTTAGGATTTCAATATCATGATCTAAGAAAATATATTGCGATGTAAGTAGAAATTATTAAAGGGAGAAATAGCATTTTGATAATATAGTAGCTTCTCATGCTACAATCCTTACAATATAAAATTTAGACTAATTTTTCGGTGGAAATAATGTACGGTTAATGTTCATACTGTCTTCATTTTGAATATTTTTTGAGGGCAATCTATTCTCATCTAAAATGACAGTAATTTCTTCATGGTCCATATATAAATTTTTTGTTAGTTTTGCGAACCTCTCATTGAAGTTAGTTATATCATTGAAAGAAACTTCGAGTGTATGGACTATTTGAGGGCATTTCTTAATTATCTCAGGTTTAGATTTAAAGCTAAAAAAGTTAGGCTTGGGTTTAAGTTCGCAACGCAGTACTTGAACTATAGTGATACAAAACCCTTTCATCTTCGATGTTGTATACCAACAACCAGAATGAAGCTGTAAATTCACAGTTTTTCTATGTACACTAGCATCATTAAGATCATTAGCAGTATACGAATATGACCATTTTACTCCTTTTGTCCTGCAGTTTGTCATATCCATGTTCCATTTACTTGTTGTTCTCTTTGCACTACGATTAATTACATTATTACGGCTGGCTGTAATACTTGATTGCTGTGCTCCAAGCGTTATCTGGATACCCGAATTTTTTTCACGACCTGCTGAAAGTTCTATATTTTCCTGGTTAAGATTTTGTGGACTATATGCTTCTTTTAACCTAAAAAGTTGGTAAACACCTGACATGAAAGGAAGTGGAGAAACCCTAATTTCGATGAAATCAATATAGTAGCCGATAAAACCATGAGACAATTGACAAATTTCGTTAAGCATTTCACCCACCCCACAATTGAATAAGTTAATACTAAATTCCAGAACATCAAGCTTATGTTTGTCAGTGTTAATATTTGCCCACAGATATGTGTCGATGTTGAAACTTTGAAACTCATTTTTAAGTTTAGCATGCGCTTCGGATGAGACTCGAATATACGGACTATTATTTTTATTGCCACCTCCATCTTCATAATCATCTCCTCCATTATCTTCTTCATCTTCACCACTATCTTCCCCATCTTCATTTTCATCATTATTATTTCTATTTTCGCCACTATTTTCACCATCTTCATCATTTCCATCTCCATAATTTTCATAATCATTTTCATTTCCATAATTTCCGTCTCCATTATTTCCATCCCCGCTATTTTCATTTTGATTTTTATTATTGTTTGAATAGATTATATCTTCTGAACCATTTCTATTAACATGGTTTATGATTTCAAATTCATTATCAAACAATGCCGATAGTTGTTGCATTATTGATATATCCAGGGGCTTGGTAACCCAGCATGCAATGCATGGTGAATAACCTTGTTGAATATCAGGTCCCACTGCATATACAGGCTGTTTATCTAGCACTTTGTAAATTTCAGTCGTTTTTTTGTTCAGTAATGAGAGAATTCGTTCAACATTAACACACGCAATGGATGACATTCCTTGAGAGATTGCTGTACGCACCGACACAAAATCAGAGATAGTTATACTGCCAGCACCATTCAAAACCTTTGACTTTCCATTACTACCTATAATAATATCAGCCTGTGGTAACTCAATGAAGTTGAGAGAATCATTTATGTTCTGATCAAATTGTTTAGTATCTATAAAAAAGATTGTTAAAATAATATAAGTAGAATAATTAATAAATTTATTAATAAATATATATTTACCATTATATGAAATAAATTTGCTTTTATAACTTGTTTTATATGTTTGTATATGTTCATTTGTAATACTTCGTATTTTCTTATCATACTCAGATAATTCCAATAAAATATTTTCATTGTTTTGCCATTCAAGAAAAATATCGTAAATTTCATCAGCTGATGGCCGCTTTTCTGGATCTTTATCCCAACATCTTTTCATAAGATCTACATAACATAAAGCAGTACCTTCGAGGATATGTGGTCTCAAACCATCATATACTTGTATTTGAAATTGTAATTCGGATTTTTGATCAAAGATAACAGGTCTTCCATGTAAAATTTCCCACATAATTATTCCAAAAGAGTAAATATCTGATGCTTTAGTATATGGTTG